GGGTGAGGGTGAGTATGAGAGTGAAGGTGAGGGTGGGGGAGGGGGTGGGGGCGAGTATGAGAGTGAAGGTGAGAGTGAAGGTGAGGGTGGGGGTGAGGGTGCCACACCGGCAGGGCAGGAGTGCCTCTGGTGGAAAGCGCCTTCTAGTCCTCAGGAGGGGGCTGCAGCCAGGACATAGAGGACAGCAGGAGGCGGCTGTGGGCAGTGGGGACAGGGCCACCGAGTGAAAATGGCCTTAAGGATCATGATATTTTATGTCTCTTCAGAGAGAGAAAGAGAGAGGAGACCTCAAATGGATGCATTTTCATCTTCTAATTCCAAAATTAGAGGAAAGGGGGGCTATCCTATGCATTGTAGGATGTTTAACACATACATGCCCCCAACCCCCCCCCCCCCTTATAGCCAAAGGCCTCTGAGAGAGCAGAGACCCCAGGTGGAAAACCACCGCCCTGAGGGAAGAAAATAGATCCCCTTGGTCGGGTCATGCTCCCTCTTGCACTGCTCTGTGCTGAAAGCAGCAGCAAATTATCCACCTGCCTTGTGATGTGGCCATTTTAAGGAGGAAGACACTGGGGTGTCCAGAGAGCAGGTGCTTCCCCAAGGCCATAACATGAGAGGCTTGACATTAACCCAGATCCGTCAAACCCTGAGTGTGTACTAACAGGGAGGGACTTGTGGGAGCACAGTAGGTGCTCAGAATGAGTTCTGAGTGATGCTCACAAAGCGGGAGGGACTCCATGTTCTGACCCCATCACTAGACACATGGCTGCAGACCTCAGCAAATACTAAATTGTGACACTATCTCAGGCGAAAAAAATTTTTTCTCTGTTAGTTTTCTCTGTTGAGTTATAAGCTCCCAGGCCAAGAACTACATCTTCTCACCATGACACCTCCACAGCACCCTGATAATGTTTTACCAGGAGCCCTTCTCCATGCTCATATGTGCTATTGACCTACTTGCTGGCTGGGAAACTCCTCACCCATTTGCCTACTGGTGCAGTGTGCTCAGCTAAAGGACCTCAAGAGCCACCTAGCTGTCCCTCAAAGCTCGGGGGGTAAGCATGGGCTCTCGAGGCTTCATAGCTACAGAGCAGCGTCCTGAGTGGGCTCCTGTGCAAAAGACCGTGGTTCTTTGCTGCCCCAGAGCTATTGGGAAGAAGGTGTTTTAGGAAAAAAGTGGCCCCTGCCCACTTCCTTCTTTTCAATAGGAAAAAGCAGGAAAGCTCCTAAGTATTCCTCAGCCCAGCCATATAGCCTTCGTTTGAAATCCTCTTGGTCATTTATGGAGCCCCTGTTATATGCCAAGCACTTTCACATAATTCATTCCTTTCAATCCTCAGAAGGCTGCAAGGTGGACATTACCATCCCGTTTTACAGATGCAGAAACTGAGGACCAGGGGGATTAAATGACCTACCATCAGGGTCAGAGGCAGGATTCCAACTCAGGTCCCCTGGCACTAAAACACTTTCCACGCCTGGCTGCCACCTCTCTGTGCAGGACAGGGCTGCGCCAGGCTGAACAGTGCACTTTGGAGGGAGGGATGACTTTAAGTCACCAGCCCTGGTGCTTCTCCTCCCCAGCTGCAGCATGTGTTATCTGCGATATATTTGATAGTTCCAATTTGTTCTGCTCAGACAAGATTCCCATTATTGTCCAATTTCTTTCATCAATTTTTTCCCCAAAGTGTGAACAAAGATTACAAATGCATGGCCAAACAGTGCGAATCAAGCTAATTAAAATTCAGTCCTTATAGTGGAGCTGGAAAAGGCATTTTGAACAAAGGTCCAGAAGAATTAAATTTTCATTTCACCTTTGCTTTTCCTAAGACCAATTAAAAACTATTTAATGTGCTCTCATTTGTTGATAACAGACTGGTATAACACCAGGCCTGGGTCTGTGTAATCTAGATTTTTTAATTAGCATATCGTATAGAGAAAAGAAAGAAAAGGAATTAAAAGTGAGAGGAAAGAATACTTAAGATACCCTTTGATTTCAGCTCTACTCAGGGGTTACTCTAGGGCCGACACAAATTCATATTCACATTTTACACATTCCAGGTGACCTTTGAGGCCATTGAAGATAAAGGTTTTCATATACTTTCCAGCACTGAAACTCATCTTAAAATTAATTCTACACTGGCACCCAAAGTAAAAGAACATTTAAAAATACACACACATCGTCCTGGCCAGTATTGGAACACCAGCCTGTGCACAGAGGCGTCTCTGGTTTGATTCCCAGTCAACGGCAGGTACATGGGTTGCAGGTTCAATCCCCCGCCTCTGTTGAGACTCGTGTGGGAGGCAATCAATTGATATGTCACTCTCACATCCCTCTCTCTCTCTCTCTCTCTCTCTCTCATGTGGGAGGCAATCAATTGATATGTCACTCTCACATCTCTCTCTTTCTCTCTCTCTCTGCATTAAGCTACAAATAATTTTCAAAAAGTATAAACAGTATAGGTAACTTTATTTGTAATTCCAAATAACTAAAAGTTAATAGCAGAAAGAGAAAACTGAAACATAAAACTTTACCATCTCAATAATTTTTTTAATCTCTGGAACAATTCTTAGTCAAAGAGAAAAACTAAACTCCAAAATATCTCGAGAATAACAACCACAAAAATACTGCATATCAGAATTCTTGAGAAATAACTAAAGGAGTACTAAAGGTTCATAGCCCTAAATATTTATTCTAGTAAACAAGAACAAATACAAATAAAGTTACAAAAAAATACAATTAAGTAAAACAAGAAGGGATTAATAAAGATGAAATTAATTATGAAAGAATTAAATAGAACTAATATATAAACCCCAAAATGTTTTTTAAAGTAGGACTTCTGATCATTAAGAATAACTAGCAGCAGCCTAGCTACCTGCCAACCCCACCCCCACCCCCCGGCCTGCACAACTGTGGTTCCTCAGAGAAAAGAAACCCCCGAGGTGAGCCTCCAGGCCCTTTCCTGACCATGTGCGGGGAGGGGACTCCGCAAGCACAGGGATCTGGCCAAGTTGAGGACACAGATTGGCAGTTGGGAGGTAGATGTTGCTGGACTCTACAGAACAGGGTGTTGAAAAGGAGGGAGCTACTAATATGCAGAGAAAGAGCTCAGGAATCTGTACAGAGGATTTCTTGAGTCTTTGACTGAATAGTAGGCATGAAGAGTGGGTTTGTGAAGGTGAGACTCCAGAAGCTGAGCACAGTGCACTACTGAGGAAAGAACAACTTGGGGGGCTGTAGGCAAGGCTATTCCCAAAGTCATACAGGGCCAGGACACTGTCGAAGGTCTAGCCACTGAGTGAAGAGGTCTCATTGGACCAATTCTGGAAGGGCCAGACCTTAGTGGTAGGACTGAACTCGTTGCAGAGCTAAGGCTACTCTGGACTTGCCTTAAAGAGGTATTGACCTTAGCCATATAATATGGTAGGTGCAAGCCACATGTGGCTAACTCTACTTGAAATATAGCTAGTCCAAACTGAGATGTGTTGTAAGTATGATACACACCACATTCCAATCTCTTTGTATGATAAAGAATGTAAATGTAATAGTTTTTATATATTGATTCCATGTTGAAATGATAATATTTGGCTATAGGGGGTTAAATAAAATACATTATTAAACGTAATTTCATCTCTCTTTTTACTTTTTAAAATGTGCCTTATAGAATATTTTAAATTTATGTGACTTGCAGTTGTGGCTCACATGATATTTCTATGAGACAGTGATACTATAAACAAATAAATAATGAAACAAAAGAGGAAGTCCAAGAATAAACCAATACTTATAAGAATTTCACTTATATTATTGGTAACATTTCAAATTAGTAGAGAAAGATGAATTGGTCAATAATTGGTGTTGGAACAATAGGTTAGCCATCTGAAAAAAAAAGTTGGATACATTCCTCCACACTTCATTATAATACAAATCATTAAATGATAGAATAAAACACTAGATATTTTTAAGAGTTAAATTGGATTTTTTAAATTATATTTTTATTGAATTCAGAGAGGAAGGAGAAGGAGAGAGAGATGGAAACATCAATGATGAGAGAGAATCATTGATTGGCTGCTTCTTGCATGCCCCACACTGGAGATTGAGCCCACAACATGGGCATGTTCCCCGACCAGGAATTAAACTGTGACCTCCTGGTTCATAGGTCCTGAGCCCACAACATGGGCATGTTCCCCAACCAGGAATTAAACTGTGACCTCCTGGTTCATAGGTCAATACTCAACCACTAAGCTATGCTGGGTGGGCATTAAATTGGATTTTAAATCTTATAAA